AACTACAAGCAGCAAAACAGATAAGGATTTCAGAGGCAACCGGAGACAGATCGTGAAAACGAGGCAGACTTTCATTACTCTACTGTACTCCACACAAGAAATAAGATTCACATTTTCAAACACTAATACCAAATCAGTGCTTCTATGTGACTGACAACTGCTACCTTGTCGTGGTGATCGAGCTGGAATACCGTAGTGGCCCAACAAGCTAAACTGGTTGAGACTCATGTTTCTGCAGGTCCTACTATGCTAAGAAGGTTGTTCGGTTAACGGTTAGACTAAAAGCAGTTACCGTCGGGTAAATGGACTCCAGAATCCAATCGGATCAAATGACGTATGAACATGTATTGGTCACCGGCAACCATGGGAACGTAGCAGCTCCTGATGCTGCTCAGCTGCTTTGTGGATTAGACTCCAAGTCAAAGGCTAGGGGAGGGGGGAATGTTCCCTTCAGACAACCACCTGATTCGGTCTGTGCGCCCGGGTAGTATCTCAGTGAAACTAATTGCACGCTCTTAACAATGCTCTCGAACAATAATGATGTTTCAAGTGACGTATCTCCCTTCAACCTTATTTTTATTTCTATACACAGACTTTTGTGTTTTACTTTTGCTATCCTTGGTGTCTTCACTTTCGTCAGCCTTTCGCCTTTGTCTGAATTTCCGGCCTATCTGTGGCGTTTCGAGAGGTCAGTGAGTAGCCTTCAAAATAATTGTCCCCAGAGAGACATCTAACACAGATATCCTGAAACCGCACGCCGTGTTCAATCCGGCCGCCTACAGTGTTTGGACACTGATGCAAACCGAATAACAGGCAGGTTTGTTAAGAAAATTGGAAAGCCTCTCTACCGATTTCTGCTGGAATTCGGGGACCCGCATTCAAGATCCAAGTGTGAAGTGCTTTGATTACCCTCTCCATCTGAGAGTTCGAATAGTGTGTGCCGCCTGCACTTGTCTTGGGACCCTGTGGTGTCGGCATTCGACGCAGCTGGTGTCGTTGTCGCACTAGGCACTACAGCCGAAGTTGCATTACTCGACTGGATTCCCATTAACAGTCGTTTATGTGCTGTGAGGTTGGAAGGGTATACGAAAGTAAGAAGTGGTAGGCAAGATAGGCGGTACCTATTTGTTGTCTCTGCCTGTGCATCGAAGGATTGCAACCCGGATGCAATTAAGGCTGAGTTTTACTGCTAAGTGAGCAATCTCTTGAGATAGGCGCGTCGGAGAGATACCGTAGTGCTGGCTGGGGACTTGAATGCACAGGTCGGGTGTCTAAGCTCAAAGGAGAATCATCTAGGTGTTCAGTGGGGTTTATATCGTCTCAGGGAACTGTCTTCTGCAGCACCAATATGACTGAAAGACTCGACACGTCACCGAAAGCATTTGCACCAGCCAATCTGCAAAATTTCATATTGACGGATTTACATGTTCAAGTTGGCTCAAGTCAGTGAGTCTATGATTTTGGTATCATTTTGGTTAACTGTAATTGACTGTGATATTATTATTGTTGTTATCGCTTGTTACCCTTCTTGTTATGAATTATTTTCCCGTGCTGGCGTTTTTCTGCTTGTTTATTCCCTGTTTTCCTGGTTTTAAGGGGAGCAACCCACAAGGTCACTTCTCTCTAAATTATAAATTAATGTAACAACCTGCCTTCTCAGGCGTGAGGCTAGCAACCCCACCCTGTAAACAAAGCTGCTACAGAAACTTCAGCACGATGTATCTCCTTGAGACAAAAGAAAAAGTCTTTGTGGGGACATGGAATGTCCGTACCATGTACGAGATTGGCAAAGCTGCCCAGATCGCAAACGAAATGAAAAGATACAGAATTCAAGTACTGGGAATATGTGAAAGCAGATGGAACGGGGATGGACTCACCAAATTGTCAACGGGTGAGTCAGTGATCTACCCCGGTCACCCAGAAGATAATCACTCGCACACCGAGGGCGTGGCTATCATGATGTCACCAACGGAAACGAAGGCCCTGATGCAATGGGAGGCGATCTCGCCCAGGATAATAACCGCCAGATTCAACTCCAAAGGAAGGAAAGTGTCAATTATACAATGCTATGCACCGACCAACAACGCAGACCTAGAAACGAAAGAAGAATTTTACAGACAACTACAGGCAACAATGGACAATACTCCAGCTGGTGACATTAAAATACTAATGGGAGACATGAACGCCAAACTGGGATCAGACAACACAGGAAGGAAACTCATCATGGGTAGAGAAGCTCTCGGAGAAATGAATGAAAACGAGAACTCTTCGCAGACTTCTGCGCCTTCAACGAACTAGTGATTGGTGGCAGCATATACAAACACAAGGATATCCACAAGGCTACATGGGTGTCACCAGATGGGCGAACCAAAAGCCAAATCGACTTCATCTCAATGCAGCTCAAAGAAGTGGAGGCGCAGCCTACTGGACACAAAAGCAAGAAGAGGAGCAGACGTTGGCCCAGACCACTACCTCGTACAAGAAACAATCGAACTCAAATTAAAAGCTTTCAGAGAAACAGGAGCTGCAGATAGACCACAAGCCAAGTTCAACACTCAAAAACTGAAGGACCAGGACACAAAAGATATCTTCACTGCAAGTATAAAAGACAAAGCCGAGACACAAATCAACACTGGAGAAGAGGTCAGCGTCGAAAAGCACTGGAACAACTTGAAGACTGTATGTAGTCAAACCTGCATGGAAGTTCTAGGCAAAAAGAAGAGACAGGACAAACAATGGTTCACTACGGACACTTGGAGACTGATAGAAGAGAGAGGGATAGTGAAACAAAAGATTCTCCAGTGCACCGATGAACAACAAAAACAGGATTTGAATGCAAACTACAAGACACTGAACAAAAGAGTAAAGAAGAGTGCCAGAGAAGACAAAAGAAAGTTCTATGAAACCATGGCAAGTGAGGCAGAACAAGCTGCAGGCAAAGGAGACCTCGCAACACTCTACCAAACAACTAGGTACCTATCGGGCAAAAGTTTGACACAAATTAAGCCAGTGAAGGATGACAATGGAAAGTCACTCACCAAAGAAGTGGAGCAAAGGAAACACTGGACTGAACACTTCAAAAGACTCCTAAATCGACCACCACCTACAACGCGCCCAACAATACCAACAACGGAGACAGAGTTACCAGTGAACACCAACCCCCGACGAAATCAGAAGTCCTGAAGGCAATCAAGATACTAAAAGCTGGAAAATCAGCAGGACCAGATGGAACCCCAACAGAAGCATTGAAAACGGACCCAGAGACAACAGTGGACTTGATGACGCCACTACTGGAGAAGGTGTGGAAAGAAGGCAAAGTACCTGAAGATTGGAAGAAAGGATACTTATTCAAACTACCAAAGAAAGGAGACTTAAGTCAATGCAAGAACTGGCGCAGAATTATGCTCCTGTCCATCCCAAGCAAAATACTAAGCCGCATCATCCTGGAGAGAATCAAACATGCCCTGGATGGAAATCTTCGACTGGAACAGGCTGAATTCAGGAGAAATAAGTCATGCATTGATCAGATCGCCACATTACGGATCATCATTGAACAAATCTTGGAATGGCAGTCACCTCTCTATCTCAACTTCATCGACTTTGAAAAGGCCTTTGACAGCGTCGATCGAGAGGTGATTTGGAAACTACTTCGCTACTACGGGGTGCCACCGACAATAATACATCTCATCCAACAGCTGTACGACAATGCTGCAAGCAAAGTAATTCACAGCGGGAAACTTACGGAACCCTTCGAAGTGAGGACAGGAGTAAGACAAGCTGGCTGCCTACTATCGCCAATGATTTTCCTCATTGCAGTAGATTGGATAATGCGACAGACAGCGGGCAATGAGGAAACAGGCATAAAATGGACTCACACAAAAAACTTGGAGGATCTGGACTTCGCCGATGATATATGTCTGATTTCCCACAAACTGGAAGATATGCAAGCGAAAAGCAACAAGCTAGCAGAAGAAGCATCAAAGATAGGACTTCAGGTGAACATAGAGAAAACAGAGGTGATGAATATTCCTGGGCAACACCACCAACAGCAACAACAACAACAGACAACAATCAGCATAAATGGAAGGAACCTGAAAGAAACAACCTCCTTCACCTACCTGGGAAGCATCGTTTCAGCTACAATAAGACGGAACTGACGAGGATATCAAAGCAAGAATCGGAAAAGCAAGACAAGCTTTCAATCCTCTCAAATCTGTGTGGAGGTCAACAGCACTCAGCATCAAAAATAGGATCCGGATTTTCAACTCCAATGTGGAGTCAGTCAGTGCTACTATACGGATCAGAGACTTGCACTGCGAGTCATAAAGAGCATCTCAAACAAACTACAGACCTTTATCAACAGTTGTCTTCGCTGAATACTTCACTCAAGATCACATGGCTGGCCAGAAAAGATCAGCAACAGAGATCCCTGACAATGAGCGAACCAACCCAGCAGGAACCGATTGTGCAACAAATATGCAGGAAGAAATGGAGGTGGATTGGCTGGACATACTTTGAGAAAACCATCAAGTGAGTGACATCACTAGACAAGCCATCGCTCGAGTGGAACCCGAAAGGGAAGTGGCGAGTTGGTCGTCAGTGCAAGGGTGACTTGGAGGAGGTCATGTGAAGAGGAGATGAAAGTATATGAGCAGACTTGGAGCCAGGTGAAAACTTTAGCAAAGAACCGGACGCAATGGAGACTCACGGCTGAAGCCCTATGTTCCTCTAGGAATTAAAGGAAACAATAATAATAATTATAATGATAATAGTAATAACACTAAATATGATCATCAAAGAGTCGATAAAAGAAATCAATGAATTTAAATATATGTAGTAATCAATATCACGTGCGTCCATCGATTCATCTACTCACTCACGCATCTTTATACTACTGAGTGTATTATATCAAAATCAGTTGAATTCCACTCTGTAGTCGTATACTACTACTACTTCTTACGTATTAGCGGTAGTAGTATATATATATTCATTTTCTAATTATGCCAAATAATTGTCCATTTCCAGTTTATTTTCGTGATCGATATCCTGCCGATCTATTCCGTGTCCATCAGCGTTTAACGCGGCCTAATTGTTCACAGCATGTCTTTACAGATTATTATTATATCATTATTAATTGTATAATCCCGTATACATCGATACTCAGCTTTCTCACTGGTATCCCATTGATTGTCCTGCTCAAATTGAAAGTGAAAGCAACAAATTACTATCTGCACTACTGGGGTATATTCATCCTATTCAGTCATATCACCTATTTCATTATCACAGCATGTCAATGGTTATATTACCTGATCAATTCAAAATCACTGACCATTTCATCCGATTGGATGTGTAAGTTGATGAGTTCCGCGTTCCGTTTCATCACCTACATACAATTTAATTCGACAATCTTAATTATTAGTCGTGAACTCTTGGTGTACAATAGACGACTACGTCGATGGAGTCGTGAATTCATTCTGATGTATAGTACACCGTCGAGATCGATATTTTGGTTGATGCTTAGTCTAAGCATTCTCCTGTCGGTTCTCCAGACATTACCAACTTATTTTATTAGTCAATTGAATTGTGACAATGACAAGCATCCTACTACTAATAATAATAATAAATCGACAGCGACAACGGGGAGTGATGTGGTTCCCCACTGTCAGTGTATCATTCAACCGATATGGTCGAGTATCTCCGATGACTACCGCTTTTGGTATAAATTACATCGAATTGTGTTTTGTGAAGGTGTCCTACCTATCGTCTGCTTGATATTTCTCTCTCAGAAATTACTGCTGAAATTGAAAATCCATTGTCTTATTGTCCAAGCTATGCGACATGATGTTTCTTCAGGCCAAGGATTGCATAACACCCTCCAAGAGGTATTCAACAATACACTAGGCGATAGTAACAATAACCTGAAGATTCTCTATATTTATACACTGGCGTTAATTATCTCTTCAACGGTGTATTGTGTCTATTACACGCTAATCTATTACGTGTATTCAATGAATATTGAATATAATATATTACGTTATTACCTGGATAATATCCCGACTGGATTACTATTCATCGATGGATTAGCTCTAGTCATACGGACTATATCGTATAACATTTTTCTAATTCTCTGGTACACGTATATCCCGGAGATCAATATGCTTGGACGCCATCTATGGTGTAAACTGGTGATCGAGATCTATGCCACGTGTCGGCTTATCTTTCGACGATCCTCGGATGCCTATTCCATACAGTATGCATCGAAATCACATCCTCATCAGCATCACAGCATCAGCAACTGCATGCCCATAGCCGTCATCACCGTCATCGTCATCGGCATCTTCGTCGGCGTCAGAGTCGTGGCGGCAGTCGTCCATTTCCATATCTATTATCTTCTCTGAATCAGACATCTTTTCAATCGTATCAATCGGATTACTCACCGCCAGGTGAGCGTAATCTGCCCAAAAAGATGGAATATTATTATGCTAAGCTGATGAATCGATCAAGGGAAGGCTTGGAGTCGCTGAAATCTCGGTCAAAATTGGCTGGACTACTGAGGCGGAAATCATCAAAACAGTTGGAGTGAATGGACTGCTCAAAATTCTTGAATTTCAGTAATATAATAAATAAAGTGTGAAATAAAATACTAAGGGAATATTAATATATGTGTGTAAAACTTGGGCACTGTGGTGGTAGTAAGTAATTCCATATTAGTTTGTTTATTAGATATGTCACACAGTGAAACAGTATTATTTACTGGATGACAAAGTTTCAAACACAATTTATTTATTGTTCATAATCATTTCATCAATTATAATCACGCAAGTCCGAAACTTTAGTTTTATGGTTTTCTTTGTTCTCTCCTATTTGTCGTCTTAGGGGTAGTAGAATTTTCCAGATATCTGGGTGGACAGGTGTTGAATCATTCCTATTACACGTATTTGCAGTTGATTCGATAAACAAAGCTTCTCTTATCAATCTCTCCCTCCATTCACCCTATTACATTAGATTTTAAAACTGTCATCTTATCCCATCCATCCTATTGTATAGCTGTGTTGGGTGTAACTGCATGTAGTGCTATAGCTGAACTATTCTCTAGATTTCTTATCTTATTTGGATCAACCAATCTAGATTTTGCTGCTAGGTTTTCATGCTCGCCTAGTCTGACTGATTGCTCCTGTTCTACTACTTTGACCTATGTATTTGACCTGACAATCATTGCAGACAGGGTATTAGATAAACTAAATTGTCTTGTTTTAAAGGCTCCACAGGACTGATCCTTTAACCGACACAGCATGTTTCTAATTGAGTTTGTGGGTGGTTTGAATGCTGGCCATTTTTATTCCTGCCTTAGCAGTACCAAAGAAAATCTAAAACAGGAACTGATGCACGTAAAAGAAGGGCCACGAGAGCCACCTCTTGTGCAACCGACCACTTCGGTTCAGTCAGTCGAAGGGAAAATCTCAAATTCAATTTTTAAAAAAACAAAAGCGGTTACAGTTTATAAAATTGAGATTTGTTCAGTGAGTTGAGATTACTGAATTAGATGACTAATTCATGTAATCAAAATCACAAAAACTCAGTTACCAAGGGAGTGAGAGGTTAATCAAACTCTCTTTCTCTTTCTCTACGCATAAGTCTGGTTTGAATCGTGTGATTGCGATCGTTTCGGCAAATCGTAGTAAATTTGCTGTCCTTTGTCTATTTAATATTTTAAAGGACTTAGAAATCTCTATGAGATGACCAGTATCAACGATATGTCTGTTAAGTGCACTCTAATTCAGTGATCTCAACTCACTGAACAAATCTCAATCTTATAAACTGTAACCTCTTTTGTTTCGAGCTACTACGTAAACCTACAAGCCAACACTGTTTGTTAATCTTTTCTGTCTTCTGTCTCACCCCTCCCCCTGCCCCCTCTTTTCTACTTTGAAAGCGTATAAACTGATGATGAGAACTTAAACTAAAAATTGTAATGGCGCTCACATTTTGGATGCGTCAATTTTACAGTCTTTCTTCTCTACTATCACTTAAACATTTTTTTTCCTTCACGTTCCCAGTGGAACATAGGGCTTCAAGCTAGAAGCTTGAAGGTTTTTGTTTCTGGCTTAGCGAGGTAAAGGAGTGCGTCGGCCGGAATTCGAACCCCGGACCATGTGCATGGTCAGCCAGCGTCCTAACCTCTGTGCCACCGACGCACCTTAAACATTAAAGTATGTTATTATTATCATCTATATAACCATTGTAATTTCAGTTAGGGGTCTGCAGATGATGAGAGCCTGTGAAATAGAATGACGATGATGATATCATTTTATACTGCAAATCCGGTGTCTTTCATTCTCTATCGAAATTTATCAAGGGAACCAAATTTATAAAGGAATATTGCCCTGTATGAAGCATGCTGTAATGTTCTAGAATGTTGTTCCTTATCTCCTTCAAAAAGATCATGGAGATATTTTTGTTTGCATTCGTAGGGTAAAATATGGCCTGAAGTTTCAACTTTAATGTTTCAGTGACGGTAGTTTTATTCTCACACCGAACCCTCCCTCTTTACTCACCTCACTATCGCCTTAGTGAGATTTATGACTGCGAAGACACTCTTTTCAACGAATTTATCATCAAGCTGTACAATCGTATATATATAATTATTATATTATTGTATCCTTTAATTCCTACAGGAACATAGGGCTTCAGCCCCAACGTCTCCATTGCGTTCGGTTCTCTGCTAGAGTCCTCACCTTTCTCCAAGTCTGCCCACAAGTTTTCATCTCCTCTTCACATGACTTCCTCCAAATCACCCTTGCACTCACGACCAACTCGCCGCTTCCCTTTCGGGTCCCACTCGAGCAATGGCTTGTCTAGGGATGTCACTCACTTGATGGTTTTCTCAGAGTATGTCCAGCCAATCTACCTCCATTTCTTCTTGCATATTTGTTTCACAATCGGTTCCTGCTGGGTTGGTTCGCTCATTGTCAGAGATCTCTGTTGCTGATCTTTTCTGGCCAGCCATGTGATCTTGAGTGAGGTATTGAGCGAAGACAACTGTTAATGAAGGTCTGTAGTTTGTTTGAGATGCTGTTTATGACGCGCAGTGCAAGTCTCTGATCCGTATAGTGAGTAGCACTGACTTCACATTGGAGTTGAAAATCCGGATCTTATTTTTCATTCTGAACAGTGCTGTTGGTCTGCACACAGATTTGAGAGTAGTGAAAGCTTGTCTTGCTTTTCCGATTCTTGCTTTGATATCCTCGTCAGTTCCGTCAGCCTGTAGTTGAAACGATGCTTCCTAGGTGGGTAGGTAAAAGAGGTTGTTTCTTTCAGATTTCTCTCATTTATGCTGATTGTTGTCTGTTGTTGTTGTTGTTGCCGTGGCTGTTGACCAGGAATCTTCATCACCTCTGTTTTCTCTATGTTCACCTGAAGTCCTGTCTTCTCTGGATGCTTCTTCTGCCAACTTGTTGCTTTTCGCCTGCATATCTTCCAGTTTGTGCGAAATCAGACATATATCATCGGCGAAGTCCAGATCCTCCAAGTTATTTGTGTGAGTCCATTTTATGCCTGTTTCCTCATTGGCCGCTGTCTGTCGCATTATCCAGGCTACTGGAATCATATATATATATATATAAATATATATATATATATGGTTTTTAGGAATTTATATCCGGTGAGGGAATTGTATCATAGCTGTGAATGCATGAAATAATAATAGTAGTAGTATGAAATGCAATTGAAACTAAAATGTTTGTGATTATAATCGTAGTTAAACGTCAAGTGGCAAAGCAAATTAATGTCATATATAGAATAATTCATAGGATGGATAGTGCTTGAAAAGGGGTGTGCAATTATAGGATTAGAAGACAAATCGAATAAAATAAAAACTTTACGTAATATTGTGTGAAATTTGATAGCATAGAATTAAACGTTGTAAAAAAAGAATTGATTTAGAATGATAAGTGGAACAAGTGAAATAATACCGGTGACAGTTCAGAGTGAGAGTAGTAATAGTAACAATTGACGTAATAAGGAAGAGTATACAAATTGAATAAACAAAATGAAAAAGTGAAAAATAAAAATTAGTCGAGCCAAAATATGAGTGCAGATTACCATACTTTAGCATAGTGGGATTAAGACCATGAAAGTTGGAGGGAAGGCGTTGAACGAACTTTTTCTGTACACAGAGATCTGGCTTTTCTGTTTCGATAGCCAAAGCTACAGCAATACAGATGAGTCAGGTACGTAATGATTTCGGTAAATTACTCTTTGCCTTGTAGATGACTTTAAAGGCGGAGGCTATAGAGATATAGGGTGATCATTATCGACCAGATGTTCAATGATCGCGCTTCTTATTGCTCCACTTCCACCTCTTCGTAACCATGCCGAGGGATAGTGTTCTTGCACCCTCTTGGACAAAACTCGAGTCGAACGATTGTACAGCTTGATGATAAATTCATTGTTGAAAAAAGTCTCTTCGCTGAATCACTTGTTTTGATTTTCTATATGTTATAATGGGAATTTTCAATGAGTTTATGAATGCATCGACTGGGGATCGATCTCCAGACCACGTGCGCTGCACCACATATGTGACAGGCAACAGATTATTTAAAAAGACACATGAGTATAGCTTTCGATTCGAGAAGGCGTGGGGATAAGTGAAAGACACTTTGAAGTATGCGGTACATAGAATATATCGGGATGGATAGAAAGTTTAGGTAGTCCATAATGGATTAAAGCAGACCTGATAAGGTTGATCTCCAACAGAAGTAATCGATGCCAGCATGTCAGACTTCTCTTTTTGTTCATTATAATAAACGTTTTTGTATTTCCCAATGAATGAAAAACAAAAAGATATTGTTTTACTGACGTTTCGCTATTTAATGCTGCTGCTAATAGCTTTATCAAAGTATTATTAAACCGGAATTTACAAAATCTCAGCATATATATAACAAAGAGTTACGAGGTGAGAAAATAGACTACTTGGGCCAAGTTAAAAGGACATATTGAAAGTCAAAATAACAATGAAGATCACTAAACTAAATAACAAAGCTAATAGTACATCTGTTATGGTATCAAAACAAAGTTTACTAACTTGATCATCGTTCGTTAGTCTGGGGTCATTTTTCGTTGTCTAGTTGGTCAGTTGGTAAAGATAACAAAATCAAGTGTAGATTGTTAGATCTGATCAGTGTGTAAAATTATAAAAGCAGTGTGTGTTTACACAGTGAAATTGCTTATCACATTCGTGTTGATTTTATCACTTCCTGGGGGAGGGAGTTGTTGTAACCAGGTCAGATTCTGTTTTAGTCCATCATTCCTATTCAGGCAATTTGGATTCCACTTGATATGAAGTGCTTCTCATATTAGACGTTCTTTGTGATTTCTGAAATGCTTTTTCTGGATGATGATTTCAATATTGTCAAAATCAAATTTGTGACCTTATTCTATAGCGTGTAGACCTATGGCTGATGATTTTTCAAGTTTTTCTAGTTCAACCGGATTTTTCGGTGGTCGAAGAGATGCTCTACGGTGTTCATTTCTTCTGATTCCCTTGATTTATCGTGATGTTTGTCCGATGTATATCGCATTACA